ATTGTCATAGAAAAAGGAAAAAGAGCAAAAATAAGGTACATATACTCAGTGAGGATATGAAAAAGAAAAAAAAAATCTTTTTAGGAAAAAATCATTTAAAAGATGATTTGCTCATGATAAGAGAATTAAAATAGTCCCCTGCTCCTTAGCTGCTGAGTCACAGTAAATCTTGAGTGTGACACAGAAGGGGTCACACTGACTAAGAGAAGCTTATCTCGGGGATGGGTTCTTGTGCAGGTCTTGGCACCTTCTGTGGCCTGAAAGGTCACAGCGATAAGACAGTGTTCAGTGTTCTATTACAAATATGCAGTGCTGGGATTAAAGAAATCCCCATACAGTATGTCATTTGTTTCATATGAGAGAGAGAGAGAGACAGAAAGAGAGAGAAAGAGAGAGGCCAAACAGTGATTTCACTTGAAAGGTGAAGTCACCACTGAAGGTCAAATGATGAAGCCAGGACAGGAGCCTGGAACTTCTGCCTCCCCAACTGAACACTTTCCAACGCCTCCAATTTTTGAAAAATATTATCATTGGCTCTGGCATTGTTCAATGTACTTGTCAGACACACCAGGAAGAGGAGGAGGCAGAGAGGGAGGAAGGGGGTGGGGAGAGAGGAAGCTTTGAATTTTCCAGGTAGTCCAGCCTTGGCGGTGCTTACTGTACACGCTGCTCTGTGCTTATTGTGATCATCGCGGCTGCAGTCACTTGTCCCTGTGTAAACTGTGGCTACAAGACCAGAACATGACCTTAAATGCCAGCCTGAGGCAGGCTGTCCTCCAGCTAGCACTGACTGAGCCTTGGAGCCACCATATGGCTTCAGGTGAAAAGCTGCTGTGTCTGCCCTTAGGAAGAGCCACTTACGAGTTGATTAGGATCTTTTGATTGGTGATAGCTTGATTGCAGGTGGTGTGAGGTTATCATCAGCCTCCAGGCGCACTTTGTTCTCCGATTTTGATGCCTCTCCTCAGGTTTCCCCAGCCTGTCTCCCAGCAGTTGTGATGCGCTCACCTTCATTTTCAGGGGTGGAAATAGTCTCATCAGGTTCATAGCTTATGAACACGTGCAGTCTGGATTGACTGTTAATCACTGTGTATTGATATTTGACTTGAACTAGAACTTGAAATGAGATTCAAGGCAATCTTCCCCGGGTGGGGATGGTGGGGCTGGGGTGCTAGCGGCTTCTGAACATTTCCGGTGAGTAGAAATGTTTAGCGGAGTGTGACAGTTCACCACACGCAACTTCAGCATCTCAGAGCCTAAGACAGGAAGCCTGCTGCCTTGACCACAGGACAGAATGGATTACATGATGAGTCTCTGTTTATAGAAAAGGGTGTTTTGAGGTGCTTACATGCAAATACTGGCTGGTCTGAGAGTTACAAGAATGAGCAGGGATTCCGAGTTCTGAAATATTCAGCCATTCCTCATTTGTGCAAAATAATATTTTAATTAAACATGACATTTATGAATCCACGTTAAATATTAATTAATGTCAAGTAATTATTGATGAACGTGGAAGCCTTAAAGACAGTGAGATAGCATATGACCTAGAAAGGAGGAAAATCACACAGAGATCAAAACGATTTAAGAGATGTGGAAAGGCAATCGTCACTGCCACCTGAAACACGTTTACAGTAGGTCAGTGGGGATTATTTCCAGAAGCAACAGGCAGGGAAGACAGCAGGAGGAAGGAGCAGCAAGACAAGAATGTGCCCCATTCTATAGCCCCAGCTATGGAAAGAGAATAGACTCAAAAGCAAGGAAATAATGCAGTGTTGTGCATGCTGGGAGCACAGAGTGCCATGCCACTGTGAGACATGGGGAAGGCCACGACGGTGGGGAAGGCCTCCATGGTGGGGAAGGCAGTGACAGTGGGGAAGGCTGCCATCACTACATGGAGCTGGGCTTTTGCCTGCTCAGCAGACGCTATATAACTGAACCACGTGCTCAGCCCTGGTGTGTGATTAAATAGTGACAGCTCCCTGTGGGTACAGGGAGCCAGGTTGGAAGGAAACTGCAGTGGCGCGGGGGCGGGGGGGACTCAGAGGAAGGACTCCCGACTCTCAGGTGCGCTGATTTGAACTTTCTACTGTTTTCTTCAGCATTGTTAAACCGGTGGGTTTCTACAGACTGATCCACTTGGACGGGCAAGTAGAAAGAGAACTTTTGACCCTGTAGCATCTAATATGGGGGTAAGCTGATGCTAAGTTGGAACATGGTTGGTTTGAGGGTTGGGACAGGATGGCTGCAGCTGCCATGGTGACAGGCTAGGTAGCAGAAGAGTGGGGTGTTCCAGATCAAGACGACCCTGTGCTTCCCCTTCTGCACACGGGGCCCTCACCAGAGGCAGCTGTCTGGACTTGAACCTCCCAACCTTCAGGATTCTGAGCCAAAATAAACCCCTTCTTACATTACCCAGTTTCAGGTATCCTGCCATAGCAACAGAAAACAGACTAAGCCAGTTGCCATGTTGAACTTTTTCTTCTCAATCTCATATTCTTAACTAAGGACAAGTGTTAGCCAAACAAAAGAGTAAAACCTTTGTCTAGACAGTAGCTGAAGCTACAACTATTCCACACTTACCTGTCAGGACGGCTGAGGAAAGTCCCTGAAAATAGCTGGGATTCCTCTCCGCCTGCAGCCCTCTGCTGGAAGGCTGTGCTAGAGAAGCCTCCTGGTTTTGAACATTTACACTTGAATGTATTTAGTCCACAGAAATACAGAGACACTTGATGTAACATCGAATGACCATGGAGGAGTCCCAGGCGAGTCAACAATTCCAGAATCCTGGTGTGTTGTACATCTAAAGTCACGAGGTTACTGGCCCCAGGTCAAACCTCTGCAACCCAGTTCTGGCCTTATAATCCCCAGAAATGCCAGGTTGACATACTACGGCCCAGTGACACTACTTAACAGAAAGAAAGCCTCTTCCCACATTCCCTACATCCCAGCACTCAGAGCCCCCTTCCTGGGCAGCCTTAATGTCAGCTCATTTCAGAACCTTGGCTGTTCTCAGATGACCCCTTCCCCCAGCCCTTCCACCCTTGCTCTAAAAGCCTGAGGAAGGGGGGACCTGGCCTGAAGAGCCTGGGGTGACTATGGTGCCAACTCCTTGTGCCCTCTATGTAGTTCCTCTTCCCAGATTCTCAAAACTGCCCAAGTTGGCAGAACTGAGGCTTGATAAGTCCAGGGCAGGGGCGAATAAGCAAATCACTCCCCAGTCGTAGCACCTTTCCATGGCCAAGCTTGAGCCGGAAGCACACACTGTGTGTGGCTTTATAGAGAGGGAGCTGTAGTCTTTGCTGCAGAGGCAGATGGTCGCTGTGGGGCTGCATCTCTCTGCAAGGTGAGGATGGGGCCTGGCCCCACGGTGACAATCCTCCAGATGCTGTTCTTTTCATCCCAGTGCAGGAGAGACTCGCGCACATTACATAACGTTACATAACACTACCGTGCACCCTTCCGAGACAATCGGAAACTGTTTGCTTCTCAAGAACGTACACATTTCTGAGGTGGGGCATTCCCGGGGCAGACTGAGGACCCCCGTCCTGAGGTCCATCCTGGCTTTCTATCACCCACTCCACCTGAGTTAAGGTAACTGCTCTAGATTCAGATTCCCTTGACAATGTGAAGGGAAAATGAGCCTCAACTTTAAACGCTTTCACATTTAATCGCCTTGAATAGATATTTCCTTTCCTCTCCCTCGTCTTTCCAAAGCTAATCCCACAGTTTTGAGAATCTGGCAAGTAGGGTAAAGGAGAACACAGCCTCCCTACCAAGAGATCTGAAATCCCAGTTCATGACGTCAGCCAAAAGGGACGGAGCCCCGTGTCGCCTCAGCGCGGCTTGTAAGAGCCCGGAGTAACAGAACACAAATGCAGGAGGTACGACGCGCTGGTTCCCTGCGCTCTTTCCACGCGGGGTGGGGGTGGGGTGGGGTCATTTATTCTCTAGACCTAATGCTGCCCTAAACTTCTCCTTTATACTCAGAACACGACGTTGCGTCATCTTCCTTAGCTGGGGTTGGGAAGTGTGTGTGTGTGTGTTCAACTGGTCCTTGGCAGTGGCTGTTACATCCACAAACCTTCACTTCCCTTCTTCCTCTCCTGCACTTGGGGACGGCTCAGGTCTGCGCGAGCACAGCGCCCAGGGAGCCTTTCCCACAGATGCGCGCTCTGCTCCAGCAATCTGCCTGGCTGCAAAGTTTCCTCTAACCACAGACACCCACTTGCCATTCCCCCAAGCTGTCTTGCTGGCCGGGTCCCCTCTCGATCAGGGAAGGGCCGGGCTGCTGGTGGCAGAACCAGTCTCACAGCTAAACTCCAAGCCCAGCAGAACGGCAGTCCTCGGCGCTCCCGCGTCTGCGAGGTTCCCTACTCCACGCGGGGAGCCGGGCCCTGGAGGCTGAGCGGCGAGGGAGCTGCAGGGCGCCGAACGGAAGAGGGGCGCAGCGCGCAGGCGAGGAGAGCTGGGTGCCAGGGGCGAGCGGGGACCACTGGGGGGTGGGGGGGACGCCGCCGCGGGCGCAGCAAACCGGACTCTGCGAGAAGCCCGGGCAGGAAAGGGCGCGCGTGCGGCGGCCGGTGGGTGCCGGGGAGGCGCTGGCTGCGCAGCCCGCCCGGAAGGTTCGCAGCCGCTCCATCGCGGGCAGGAGCGGGTGCCGGGTGCTGGGGGTGGGGGCGCCACCGTCGGGGGCGTGCCTTGGCGGCGATTGGCTGCGGGAGCCTGACGCGCGGCTCCGGGGGCTGGCTGGCTGGGGGGGCGGCCGCGGGGTGGGGTGGGTGCTGGGTGCTAGAGCCGCCGGCCCCGCGCGCTCAGAAACATGCTGAGGTCCCGGCGGCTCTTCCAGCAGCGGCAGCGGCTCCAGCAGCAGCGGCGGCGGCGGCGGCGGAGACAGCGCTCGGCTCCGGCGGAGGAGGCGCCCGGCGTCCATGCCTCCGGCCCCGGGCCGCGGCTGCCCTGACCCGGCCGCGACCTCCCCGCACGGGCCCCGCAGCCCCGGCTCCCGGGGTGCTCCCCGGCCGCGGCCCGGCCCCGCCACACCCCCCGCCCCCGGCCTCCGCAGCTCGGCATGGGCGCGGGGGCGCTCGCCCTGGGCGCCTCCGAACCCTGCAACCTGTCGTCGGCCGCGCCGCTGCCCGACGGCGCGGCCACCGCGGCGCGGCTGCTGGTGCTCGGGTCGCCGCCCGCCTCGCCGCTGCCGCCGGCCGGCGAGGGCTCGGCGCCCCTGTCGCAGCAGTGGACCGCGGGCATGGGCCTGCTGCTGGCCTCCATCGTGCTGCTCATCGTGCTGGGCAACGTGCTGGTGATCGTGGCCATCGCCAAGACCCCGCGGCTGCAGACGCTCACCAACCTCTTCATCATGTCCCTGGCCAGCGCCGACCTGGTCATGGGGCTGCTGGTGGTGCCCTTCGGGGCCACCATCGTGGTGTGGGGCCGCTGGGAGTACGGCTCCTTCTTCTGCGAGCTCTGGACCTCGGTGGACGTGCTGTGCGTGACGGCCAGCATCGAGACCCTGTGTGTCATCGCCCTGGACCGCTACCTCGCCATCACGTCTCCCTTTCGCTACCAGAGCCTGCTGACGCGCGCGCGCGCGCGGGCCCTCGTGTGCACCGTGTGGGCCATCTCGGCCCTGGTGTCCTTCCTGCCCATCCTCATGCACTGGTGGCGGGCCGAGAACGACGAGGCGCGCCGCTGCTACAACGACCCCAAGTGCTGCGACTTCGTCACCAACCGGGCCTACGCCATCGCCTCGTCCGTCGTCTCCTTCTACGTGCCCCTGTGCATCATGGCCTTCGTGTACCTGCGCGTGTTCCGCGAGGCCCAGAAGCAGGTGAAGAAGATCGACAGCTGCGAGCGCCGCTTCCTCGGCGGCCCCGCCCGGCCGCCCTCGCCCGCGCCGTCGCCGGGGCCACCGCGCCCCGCGGACCCGCTGGCCAACGGGCGCTCCAGCAAGCGGCGGCCGTCGCGCCTCGTGGCCCTGCGCGAGCAGAAGGCGCTCAAGACGCTGGGCATCATCATGGGCGTGTTCACGCTGTGCTGGCTGCCCTTCTTCCTGGCCAACGTGGTGAAGGCCTTCCACCGCGACCTGGTGCCCGACCGCCTCTTCGTCTTCTTCAACTGGCTGGGCTACGCCAACTCGGCCTTCAACCCCATCATCTACTGCCGCAGCCCCGACTTCCGCAG